AATACTATATATATATATATATATATATATATATATATATATATATATATATAGAGAGAGAGAGAGAGAGAGAGAGAGAGAGAGAGAGAGAGAGAGAGAGAGAGAGAGAGAGAGAGAGAGAGAGAGAGAGAGAGAGAGAGACCATACTCTCCTGACATCAAGAAGACAATTCTTAATTGAATATAAAGTCCCGATAGGGGAGAATACTATAACTTATGATACTAGGATAGTGTACATATATTTAGGAATACAAACTTCCCACTATGTCTCGCTAAAAAACACATGTAGTTACGAGATCATGCCAACATGAAGGAAAGGTTTAGCCTTAACATACGTTATCCATAAAGTGACAATTGTTGCACAAGTGCTCACACCTCTTACGGATGGTAATCTATACCATACAAAGGATTGAGATCAATATCGACTTCATATTCTATAGGGAAGCTTATTTAGTCATTTTATCGAACAACTTATGTGCATTACTTCATAAGGTCTTTTATAGTTTGAATTCAACATGTTCTACCACAATTATATTCATATTCACTTCCCCTAATACTCGCCATGGTATCCATACCTTTACATTTCCATTTGGTATCCTAGAACATGTTAAAACAACTCACACAACATAACTCAACTTGAAGTTTCATAGTTACTAGTTTCTTCGAGAATCCTCCAACAAAATTCAACCCAACACTTGTACAAAGTTAAGATTAGGTTATGGAAGATGAAACTTACCTAAAATCTACCAAGAAACCTCTGTTCATTATCTTACTTCGATGCCAAGTCACTTCCTAAGTCGTTAAAATGAGAAGGAAAGGGGGTTAATTGTAACCAAGATATTCTTTACGTCAAACTTGCATGGTTTATCTTTTGATTCACTCCAGGATCATGGGGGAATCCTTGGAGAGCATCTATTAGAGTTTAGGGAATGCTTTGGTCAAGGAAAATAAGTTGAAATGACATATAATTGACTAAAATACAAGTTGGAGTTTTACATCGACTTTGTGGGTCCCAAGGAGATGCTTGCGCAGTCTCGCAAAAATAAAAATATCGTTGTATCCGATGTCATATCGACAACAGATTTAATGAGTTAGAAACTATACTCGTAGATATTCAATTTGATAGGTAGATTGCCCTATAATTAAAGTTTGGGCGAAATGCTCGGCTATATTTGACCTAATTTTTAGCATATTTATGAATGTAACATGTGATGACCTTTGCCAACTTTTGTTCCACAACTAGCTTCACTTCAAAACGTAACACAAGACTATGAAACGAAAAATATAACTCATAACATAACCTCCTTATAATGTTAAGTACTATAGTCTCACACCAAAAGTACATGTTATAACATTCCCAACTTGTCGACTTTCGACAAAAAAAAATTTCTTCAATTCGTTTCATTTCTAAGCCTTCCAACCCTCTTGGTACTTTTTATTCATGATATTAAATATTTGTAACCTCCAAGGTAACATGATTAACTTACTTATGTACTTTTAAATATGATCTCATTTCTGAGCTTACATCAATTGACTTACGACATACTCTTGCGTTTGGGGTATATTATAGAGTATACAAATATGGTATGAAATAAATACATCTTCTGTTTGAAAATATACATAATAGATTTCTAAATCTAAAGCTACCAAGGACAAGAGGCAGTCGTAGTTTTAACGAGGGTACATCTTCAATGCCATTTTCCGCCGTGTACAGCAACGTCAACTCCAAAATCTGCATGCAAGATGCAGAAGTGTAGTATGATTACAACCGAACCATGTACTCAATAAGTATCAAACATAACCTTATATTGAAAGCGGTGACGAGCTAAAAAAAGGTTAGAGTCCAACACCAATAGCCAAAAAAATCTCGTAACAATATAATGAAAGTAGTATAAGTAATAACTCAATATATATTATGCTCAGCTCGTTCACAATCACGGAAAAATAGACATGCTTTTCAGGAAAATTAGTATATTAGAAAATTATGATTTTTAGAAAATTAGTATAATAGAAAACTATGATTTTTGCCATACTTCAAATAACAGAAAAGATATTTCATTATCAGATAGCATGGGGAAGTATATCTCTATGCCAACATGTCAATATGCATGTCAAGTCACCAAATATCATATACGATCTAGCATGAGGAATATACATCTCAATGCCTACATGTCAAATCATAAATGTCACATTACCGTATAACATGAGAAAAGATGCATCTCTATGCCTACATGTAAATGTGCATGTCATGTGAATGATTTCACGGTGATATTCCTAGGTACTCTCAACCTCAACATACTCAAGTTGTCTGTCTCATTTTCCACTTCCTCACACACACACACACACATACAAAATATCACTCAACATTGTACGCGTGTCTGGCTCATAAGCCCTTCACCGGGGCACATGTACATATATCACATTGCCTGCGCTCACTGTTTTTAGGTCAGACTCTGTAGACTGAGTCTTGGTTGATTAGTTTGCCTTTTCTTGGTCTGGTGTGGCTAACAGGCGACAGAAGGATGACGGCTTTTTATTGGGAACGTAGCGTAGAAAGGGGTTCTTCCGCAGAAGCAAATGATCTAGCCAATCATTCTTCTACCGATTATCCAAGTTCGGTATTCTGTAAGTTCCTAGGTCATATCGAAACGACCGGATCTTGCCCAAGCTCTAATATAAAGCCTACAAGGCCTGCTGCAGCGCGCAACCCCAATAATAATAATAATACTAATACTAATAATAATAATAATAATAATAACAATTATAATAATAATAATAATAATAATAATGATAATAATAATAATAATAATAATAATAATAATAATAATAACAACAATAACAATAATAATAATAATAATAATAATAATAATAATAAAAATAACAATAACAATAGCATAATAATAATAATAATAAAAATAACAACAACAATAATAATAATAACAATAATAATAATAATAATAATAATAATAATAATAATATTTACCGTGAAAATGGTAACTACAATTAAATTTGTTAAATGGGACTCTAAAAATACGTGATCTATTGCCGAGCTAGTTTATTAAAGAAGATGATGCTAGTATTATGAAATTTAGCGATAAGGCGGTAGATAAACGAGATAACGAGCGAACCAAAGGGTTTGCTACCTGGGTGTGAGCACGGTCGGATGGGACTTCGAGGTCGACCTCGGGCCGTCGGGGGTATTCGAGCGTAGTCTAACAGCTAGAAATATAATCAAACGGAGCTATTTATAACTGAAATTGAGTTTGTACGACGAAGAGCTATTTATGAAATGAAGAACACGTTCAAAGGCAAAGGATATCGAGGTATCCTCAGTATCAATGATAACCAATGAGCTTTTGTAAGAAAAGATATATATATATATATATATATATATATATATATATATATTATTCACTTTGTAGAATTGTGGGAGCAACACAGTGGTTTACAAGAAAGGGTGAGTCCCCTTTATATAGGAGAGGAGACTCAGTAATGAATATATATATATATATATATATATATATATATATATATATATATATATATATATATATATACTTTACGAAATACGGAGATGTGACGGCTCGACTTGATATTCCAGCAGTAGTTAGGGATAGGCCGGTCATGTCAGATTCAACCGCCTTCCTCGGGGAGCTCCTTTCATCATCCCGATCTCTGCTTCGAATCGGGTCTTGATAGACCCCGTAGGAAAGGACTGAGCTGTTCTTTTATATCCTCGGGGTCTCGAGGTACCTTTCCAAGATGGCTTGATGGCAGGAAATCGAGCCCTCTGATTTCACCGCGTACAAATAGTCTTCGCGTTTCTCAGAACGAAGCGATGGGAAACGATACTGAATCGTCGTTTCGAGGTTATCATTGCTATGGCGTCAGCTGTCTAAGAGCATTAAATGCCGCTTCCAGAGGACTTCACAGGGCCGCCGTCAGATGCGGCACTCGAGGCACTATGATCTGCTGCAGGTTTTGTCTTTTCCGCTCCCCTAGCGGTTATTATAAATACACTGGTCGTTCGATCCTTTTAACCCCCACAATTTTTACCATTCCGCGAACCGAAACTCCACCATTTTGACATCCTCCCCTTTTTGCGAAAGGATTTTTACCATTCCTCATGGCTAGAACTTCTAGGATGGTTCCTCGTCGGAACGACACCGCGTCGTCTTCCAGGCCACTTGAGGGGGATTACAGGTCGACTCCTTCTTTGAAATAATGGACTCCTCCAGTTATTGATACGTTAAAGGATTTTGACGTCGACACTCCCTCGTCTACACCGGGTCAGTGCGAGCATATTTCTCGGTATGTTAGCGTCGTGACCGATGCTGATAGCGTTAGGAAGGATTGCCGATGGAGCGAGGCAGTGACATGGAGATTCCCAGCCCCGATGATAGCATCACCGATTTCAAGGATGGCTTTCTCCACGTATACACTTACCCATTTACCCTGGGCCCTGATATATCTGTAGAAGCTCCTTCGTTGGGAGTTGATCCGGTTATCCTTGACTTTTGCGTCCGATACCAGGTGACTCTTGGCCAGATCTATCCATCTTTTTGGAGGATAGTGTTGATGCTTAGGCACTTCACCGAAGAGGTTGCGGGCGAGGTTTTCACCCTCGACCATTTAATCAGATTGTATCGCCCTCGGCTATATCGGGGCTTGATCAAGCTCCGCCATCGGTCCATGAAATCCTTTTTTATGAGCGTTGAAGAGGGAAAAGACCGAGGGTGGATGAGAAGACACTACAACAAAAAAGACTTTTAGTGGTAATTAACTAGCGGCAATAAGCTAATGGCCGGTAAACAAATTCAAAAATCCGAATAATAGTGGCGATAAATATGAATGACTTCCAAAATACATTTCTTGAAAGCTGCCAGTATTATTTTAGCTTTCCCTCCGGGTTTTTCACTAAAATCACATATTCCCTCTATTTCTAATCAACAACTATGTTTAAAAAACTTTGGAAAATATTTCTAAAATNTACAACTTATCTTCAATTTGGCTTTGCTGAGATGATTAGGATTGTCTAGTACGTATGAAGAAGATGATGATTGTTTCCCACACACCCAAATCATATTTTTGTAATTAACCCTAATATTTTAACTGTAAATTATCGAGGGTAATTGGATTACTTCTTATCACTTGCAGTGGGTTATTAATCGAGTATTAGGTAATTAGGAATATGAATTTGGAGAGAGGGGCGAGAGAATAGGAAGAAAAAGAGTTTGTGTCAAAGGTGAGATCTTTATAGTAAATCCTCTGTACAAGAAGTATGTTATGAAACATATAGGATTATCTTATAAATATGGTATGCCTATTCTTTCCATTTAAGAGAACTGGGTCTCACCTTTCTTTAGACGTATGATTGATATTATAGTTTTACTTGGTTTATAATGATTGGAATGAAAGTTGAGAAAAAGGAATTAGGTGTAAGCAGATATTAATTCTCGTATGTAGATACATATATAGATTAATTCTGCTTTAACTTGGAATAAGAATCGAAAAATGAGGGGAAGTTGCACGATGAAGATATGAGCAGATTCTTTCAAAGTGTAGTGAACTTGGCTGACCAATATTATATCCTCCAAATATTTGAAAATAATTAAACTCTCCATTCAAGTAAAAGTTTGATAGGTGTGTATGAAGTAGTGATATGTTACAGCATAATAGACAGCGAAAGCAAGAAAAGAAATATCACAAATAGAGTTGCTTAGAACAACATCATATTAAAATCACACAGAGATTGAAGAAAAGGGGATAGAGTACAACACAACTCACATCAAATGATTATCTTCTTCTTTCTCCACTTAAATCACTTAGTTTTTTTTTTATATTTTAAATTGGAATAAATCTTAATACATACTTTTTAGTTTTCTTTCCAGATTTCTTATAACTAGGCCTAACGATGCAAATATTAGTCTAGACATAGCAAAATACACTAAAGTAAGTTGTAGCGCAACACCCATAATTAATTTATGAAGGTATTCCATCCACATACGACAAGATGAAGAGAATGGCCATTTCTGATGCACTTAATATTAGTTTACACATAGTATTATTTTTTTATACGGATATACTACCCTGCTCTTGTATAGGATATTGAGGCTCGAGACAGGACATACATACTGCTTTGGGCAAGCTTTCATCAAAGGTTGGATAGAACCATTATGATAGAATCATAGTAAGTTTCTTGTATCTTGTTTATGACCTACCCTACATTCATTCTCTCTTGTTAGTTGTGGTATTACTTCACATATGGAATCAATGGAACAACATATAGCAGTTGATCACTATTTCTTGTTAAATAACGTCTTTGACTTCATTTTCGGTATTGTTTACCAATATAAAAATTTAATTTTCTGCTCCAAGTATCACATGTAGTTCCTTTTCTTTGTGATTAGCCCTTGTTCATGTAACAATGAGCTCCAGCTCCTTTTTGCAATTTTTATGAGATGAGTTTTCATACTTGTTCCTGCAATTAGAATTGAAGTCTTAATTATTTGTTAGAATATCTGACTATCGATGGTAGCTTCTCCCTTTTTTGTGATAACCTCAGAATCTTGAGAATAAGAGAGCTGAAGAAACATATGTGAGGAGAAGATAGTTAGCAAAATATATAGTACAAGTGCCAGGGATGCCTTTTCAAAGTAACAATTTTTTCTTCGTTTCATATTTGAATGTACATTTTGCTAATCTTTGTTCTTGAAATTGTTGAGAACTCATAGGAAGCAAATAGTATGAACTATGCAAAATAGGTTCTTTTGTGTTGCTAGTAATTGTTACCTTATGTTTAGAAAAGATAAAAATAAATGTGTTGTTAGAGGTCTTTATATCTCTTTACGCTAGTCTTAACGATTAGTCCATTTTTCTTAAACTACCTTGTGTAGGAAGATTCCTGTTTCAATTTGGTTGAAATTACAATACTTGAACTGCCAAATATTGTTGTTTGCTTACCAACTGGTTGGAGCCATTAGGGACTTTCGAAATGGCATCTTACGAGATTTGGCAATCCTAATTCCAAAGATAGTAATCAAACCTTAAGTATGTTGATTATTTTGAGCAAGAAGATATTTAGGCTTCTCCACACATCTAAACTTTAATACCTTGATAGTACACCAACACCTTCACCACCAAAAGAGACCATCAACAACATTTCTTTAGATCCACTTTCAGAAATTCTTTCTAGCAACTTTTATAAAACATTAAGTCTTAATCATGTGAGAACAACCTAATTTTTTTTGCAAGTCCTATGAACTTGATATTGAGAAAAGAATTTGAAGGTTCTTATAAGAGAAGAGATAGAGGTATAAACAATCAATTTTGTTTTCCAGTGAACTTCAGAAAATGTGTGTTCCTACTCCTATTAATAAGAAGGACTTAATTCATTTTGAGTTTAGCTATATTGCAATGGTTTTTAGAAAAAAGTTATATATTTATCTTCATCATTAATTTTACTAGGTGTGAATTATGTGGATATAACACGGAAATATAAGGAGAGATTACATGTGTATATTAACATTTTATCTGTAAATATTTGTGTGACACATCTTTGGTCTCAATCTTTGTGTGCCTCTTCAATAGCAAACAGAGGAGTAGAATCTTGAAATAGGAGTAAAAATATCACTTTTGCATCCTTGTCAGGTCTTTGGGTTTTGCATATTTCTATGGGCTTCTTTCTTTTTCTAAAAAGAAACTTGAATATGTCCATTCTAGTAGGCAAAAACAGCAAGTGCTTCACATATTTGTGCTATCTACTTGTTGGATTGGTATTGTTAAGAACAAATTGACTTGAGAAATCTGCAATCCCAATAAAAAATGTTAGGACTTTTTAGAACACGCTCGTGTAAGTTTGTTTGGCAAATATTCATTTAAATGTATTTGTGAAGTTGATTCTGAGCCTATGCTACTTTGAGGTCTTCAAGTACGCATCTATTTTTTGAGAAAAAACCATTTACAACAAACTTCCTGTACATTTGATTTTGATGGGATTTTGTAGTAGCAATTCCTTCATACACTAGCATATACACCAGACAGTTATTTTCCTGACTATTAATGAACTTCATATATGGTTATTTATTTATATTTATTTTATTTCTCATTTCAGGTCATATTTTATGGTGGTCAAAGTCTTCGCTCATGGCAGATTACATTATGATCCAGAGTTGGAGAATCTTTCTATGTCGCTTATTGTATATAGCTACTTGATAAAATAACTTGTTAGATGCAAAATGACACTAGGTATTAGATTTAAATAGGTTAGCATTTTGTTATGCTGTTGACACTTCCAATTTATGGATTAGTAATTTCGGTTGTTGCGGATTAGTGAAGTGAATTAAGATCATTGAAGAGAATATTCGTTTTAAGGTTAATAAGAATACCAGGCATTAACTAACAATGATGGAAAAACTCTTTCTTAATAGTTAGTGGCAATAAAAAAAGTTTCTAAAAAGTCATTGTTATACTTTTATCGATAATAATAAAAGCTATTAAATAAATGGATAAAGATGGATTTCAAGTATAGCTTTAGTGGCTATTATATTGGCTTCCAAAAAGGATTCTTTTTACCGGTTATTAAATTTACTTTTAGCGGTAATAATAAAAGCTGCAAAATGTAGGGCTTATGGAATGTTTTGTGAGTTTTAGTGTCCATTATAATTGCCAGTAATATTTGCCACTAAAACTAAAGGACTTTTACCGGCCATAACATGGCCCTTTACCAGCATTTCGACAAAGGCTGCCAAAACCTTTGCCGACGCCAACTTCAACGGCTAATAACTAATTGCCGGTAAATATTTTTTGCGACCATTTCTATTGCCGCTATAAAGAATTTTAATTGCCGCTAAAAGTCTTTTTTGTTGTAGTGAGATTCGTCCGAGTGAGAACCTCAGACATCATCCCGTCCTGGAGGATGCCCTTTCCGGAGCGGTGGAATGCTCAGCGTAAGTAAATTTCCCTTTTAATCGCTCCTTGACTTCCTCTCCTTTTTTTTGTCACAACGGCTTCTTTATGCTTTTGGCAGCCGTTGCCTGGTGCCCGGAGGTGGTTCTAGATATGTCGGGATGGATAAGTCGTTTGGATAGGAGGTTCCCGTACCGCACTAGGTCTTGGACCGTCCTGTCTAAGGACCGTTGGGTGGCCAAGAATCATGGTGAGGCTTCATCGTTGTTTGTGCTTCGTGTTTTGCGTTTCCCTCCGAACCCCAAGCTGAATTGTACGATGATTTTTGCGTTGGTACAGGTCTTGGCGAAAATATGCAGATGAGGCCACCCCCTGGCGGCAAAGTGGAGGCTCTGCAGCCCGATGCGAGCAGAAAAAGGAAAGGTAGGGCGGTCGTCGCTCATTCCGACCAGAAAATTGCTCTAACTTCTGGGTCGAACCTTGATGCTGAAGGGGAGGACGACGAAGGGAGTCCGTTGAGGAGGAGAGCAAAGCCCGACGCGATGGATCTGCAGGCGCCCCGATCGGAGGCTGCTGAGTCCGGTACGACTGATTCTGGTCGAGCCGAAGGGCGAAGGACCCTCGAAGAGAACGCTGAAGCAGCCTCGACTCGTGTAGTTGGATCCGACGCAGCCCTCGAGAGGAGAACTGTAAGAGCTGATATTGAGAGACTAGAGCTCGGGGCCATGCAGGAGAGCGGGTCGCTTTTTGGAGAAATTGGCGATTTTAACGATCTGATCTCAAATTATCCTATCTCCTTCGGGGAACTGCGAGATGCCGAACGGATGGTTGGTGCCAAAGTCGGGACTTCTTCCAAAGGGGGGAACTTCATGGCCGATATTTTTGACGGCGTGATCGACAGGGCTGATCTCGATATCCCCGGTGCTGTTAGAGTGGCGGAGAAGTTTCTGCAACAGGTGATTGTCTTCCCTCGCATATTTTCTTTGTGTTCACGGATATTTTTCTCGGCGCTTTGTTTACCTTTCCTCATTATGTCGCAGTGTAAGGAGATGTACGATCACGCCATCCTTTAACTCCAGGGGGAGCTTTCTTGCTGCGAGAAGGAGTGTGGCAATCTTGCTTCGAAACTTCGGGACTCGGAGGCACGCGATGCCCAGGGAGATAGAGAGTTGGGAGAGCTTCGAGGCATTCTGAGGTGGCGCTCCAGGAGAAAACTGCTCTTGCTGCTTAGGTATTTTGCCTCGTTCATACTTGTCCCTTTGTCCCGCATTCGCGCGTACTCCGGGTTCATATATTTATCAGCCTATCCTTCCTCACAGGTCGAATAGAGCAGCACGCGAATTTTTCGGCTGGAGGCGGAGGTTTTCGAGCTGGAAAAGCAAAATGAGGTTATGGCCGGAGAATTGGCGACATCTCGAGATCTTCTTGCGGATACTCGTAGGGAGAACGTTTCCTTGGCTGCTGCCAAATCTGAGGCCGAAAAAGATGCTGCTGCTTACAAGGAAGATGCGGCCATGCGTATATAATAGTTCGCGACATGTCTATGGCAGTCGGCCAGAGACTATCTCGAGCCGTCGAATATGCCAAAGCGAAGGCCAAGAGGGAAATCCTGGAACACCTCGAGTCTAGAGGCTTCGAGCTGTCTGTTGATTTGGCGGAGGCTCGTGTGGCTGAAGAAAAGCTGGTTCCCTTGAACACTCCCGATAGGGGCGAAGATGATAGCGGCGAGGAGTAGTTTCCCGGCCTTTCGTGTATTTCCTTGGCTTTATGAGTTCCTTTTTTTGGGAAGCAAACAGTGTATAGACGCTTTTATCTTCTTGTTGCCATGTAAAAAAAGGGTTTTGTTCAATCCGTTCTTCTTCTTGCTCCCTTATCTTTGCGTTCTGATATCGGCCCTTCGGGGCTCCGAGGCTAGTCGTATCCTGAAGCGGATTCGATAATTCTTTCGGACTGGATTTTTGTGACGTCGGGGATCTCCCGAGGCTCTTCAATCTTATTAGTCACGTGGGTGCCTTGCATGATTCTGCTAGTGCACCCCCAAGGAGAAGGCGATGTTAATATGGCCAGGATTAATTGGTCCCTTTTGGACAACCGAGCAGCTGTCGCTCAACCTTTATATATTCACTTATAAGCCCTTCAAACGGTGATTTTACAGATTTTGGTAAGCCTATCTTTTCTGCAGAGCTTTTCGCTTTGCGCGAGTTTTTCTGCTTTCAGCTGCCTCAGATGGTTTTTGCCAGGATCCTTATCTTTTTTGCCTTTGTTCTGCTGTAGCCATGGCCACTTCCCCGACTGCTGATCCTCGAATGAAAAAGGGGCTCTGTTGCGCCCTGCCTTTTGCTAGTACTGGTGCATCATTCACGACATCGCGGAACATGATCCGGGGAACCTTGTCTCGGGAAAAGTCGCCGCATCGGGGAAACCCCCCGATGTTCCAGGTCATCGAAGGCATGTGTCGAAGATCACTTCATCAGTGAGGGAAAACCTCGAGATAATCAGGAGGGAGTGCGGATGGGGTGAGGGTACGATCTTGCAAGCACCCTCCCCCGAGGAGAACATAACGACATATGCCGGGGGTTCTTGAGTGTGTATGTCCATGCTTTCGCGCCGGAGTCCCCCGGATCGGGCCGTGTTTGATTTCTGCTGGAGTTATCAAGTAACGTTGCCTCAGGTTCATCCCTTTTTTTGGAGAATAGTGCGTTCGATGAGATATTTTGTTGTTCAGATCGGGATAGAATTCACCCTTAGACATCTTGTGAGGCTGTATCGTCCATTGTGTTATCGGGGACTAATTGCTCTCCAGCGTAGATACACTAGAGTTCCTGGGATTGGCAACGAGGGGGACGAAGACTTCGGATGGATGAATCGGTTCGTGCGAATCTGGACGAACGATGTTATACCCGAAGAATTTTTGTGGTTTCTTGAGAGATGGAACCTCACGCGTAACTGCTTCATTTGAACTGATTTTTAACTTTGCATGGGGTTGTCCTCGTAACGACGTTTTTTCTGTTTTTTGTTCATAGGTACTCGCTCGTTGCCCAGCGAGATCCCAGACTTAGCTGAATGGTCCCGTAAACTAGAAGCTTGCTCAGTTTACGACAGGCGTCGATGGCGATATCTATCAAAGGGGAGATAGGAGGTGAAGCACCACGGTATGTGTCCAGCACCTTGGCTTTTTAAAGAGCGGCTTCCTTCTTGCTGGCTCATCTGATTTATCTGCTGCAGGTGCCAGGAGTCCCTTCAAGGTGAGGCCGAATTCCCCGAAGGGGAAAAAAGGTTGCCGACCCTAGAGCTAGGGAGCGTCAGAAAAAGGAAAGATGTCTGAAGGTGCGAGGAGGCCTGTGATGGGGCGACCTTTTCGCGGCAGCTAAGGGGAAATGATGCGGCCGATCGGCAGCTTCCCCGGGTTGGGGTATCGTCGGACGTTGCTTTGGCCTTCGGCGAGGCTCATGGTTTCGGCCTAATGGTGAGTTTCGATAGCTGTAAGGATGTCTCGGACTTACATTCTTCCCTTTTCCTTTTGCCCACCTGAATTTCATTCTCACGTTTTTTAGAGGCTTAGGGCCGAACTGCTTCGTTGAGAGGCTCCACTGCGGGATGCTCGAGACAAGTAGAAATCCTTAAAACGTCTTTGTGCGGCAAAGGAAAGTGAACTTGTCTCTTTATGGTGTGAGGCTGACCGGAATCGGATCCGGGAGGCCCTTTTGTAGAAACAGGTATCCTGCATTTTGTACTGAATTGCACTCCCTTTTTACCGTCTTGACATGTTGTCGTTTCAGTTGGAGGACAGGGCGAGTGAGCTGGAGCAACTTTGGGGCGAAGTTGGCAAAGCCAAACATGAATTCATCGAGCTACAGGCGCGCGTGAATATCCATTCCGAGGCAAAAAAGAGAGCTCAGACCGGGGTTTCCGCCCTTGAGGTGCAAATCCAGGCTGCTCCAATGAATGACTCTGCCCGGGCGAAGATGATCATGAAGCTGTCATCCGAACTTTCGAGGGCGAAAACAGAGTTGGTGAATGCTCGAGTCAAAGTGGTGTTGAATGATACCAGGTCGGGGAAGAAAATGGCGGTTTACTCGAGGAGTGCCGATGTTGCTAAAGTTGAATTGCAGAAGATCCTCGATCGTGCCGAAAATAGCAGAGAGTACGCGAGGTGCAGATCCCGTAGGGAAATCATTGAGGAGATTCATGCAAGGGGCTTCGATCTTTGAGGGAGATCGAGCAAGCCAAAGCAGAGGAGCATGATGGCAAGTTCCTGATGTCCGATGCCGAGGACGATTAGGAGGAAGACACTGGGCTATGACTTCCGGAGAAAAGCGGAATGATCGCTTCCTGCCTCCTTTGTTATGTATGTATGGTTTTCAATATTCTACGCAGGTTGGGGCTGCGCCTTATCGTCAACATGTATCATTAAGAGGGGGAACCCCGCAACTTATATTCTTTATATTTTTGTTTGCTGGAATTTCAATTGGGTCGATTCGATCCCGGACTTGCCCTAAGGCTTGTACGCTTTTCTCGTTGCCTGGTTCAGTCTTCGAGTCGGGATCCGACTCGAGCTTAATTTGGCGCTCGTCTGGGTTGGCGATGATGGCTTTTATTTCTCGCTTTTGGGCATTTGGTCACTTTAGCTTTATTTAGGGTCCAGTCTCCGAGTCGCGCTGTGATTCGAGCTTTAATTGACCCTCAAGCTGTCAGTTTTGGCTGGCGACAAGGGCTCTTACACTTTTTGGTCGTAGAGACCTTTTGATATATGGCCCGTAGGCTTGTTTGGTTAACTATTTTGGATCCGGTCTCCGAATCGGATTACGATTCGAGCTCACTTTAATCCTCAAGCTGTCAATTTGGCTGGCGACAATGGCTCTTACGCTTTTTGGTCGTAGAGACCTTTCGATATATGGCCCGTAGGCTTGTTTAGTTAACTATTTTGGATCCGGTCTCTGAATCGGGATAGGATTCGAGCTCACTTCAATACTCAAGTTGTCAATTTGGCTGGCGACAATGGCTCTTACGCTTTCTGGTCGTAGAGACCTTTTTGATATGTGGCTCGTATGCCTGCTTAGCTGGTGACAATGGCTCTTACGCTGTATTTTGCCCGTGGGCTTTTTTTAGGCTTTGTTTTCCGCTCGTTAAGGTCTTTTTTTGAAAGAGTTTTGCCTAACTCGTCGTCGGTTCTAGAGGAACCTCGATTTCAAGTCATAATCGGCGATAGTTCGGGCACCTCGGAAGGTACATAGCCCGTTGTTTGCCTGTTGAGGGAAGGCTGTTTTAACCGGTTCTTTCCGAAATGTATTCGAAGTAGTGGCCTGCGATTTTAGCGATGGCCGGTCGTCCCCGAGTCGCGATATTTTGGCTGTATCAGCCGTTTTGACCATAGTCATGTGCGTTCGGCCGTAGCCGTTTTTCATCCCGAGTGATAGTTTAGCCGTCTACATCAAGGGTATGCCCTTTCGGGATTCTTACAAATGCAACGTATAGCCTAAACTTCGGGGTGTTCATGCATGTTGAGGTCTTACAGATTGTCATGCCTATTGAGGTCTTACAGTTTGCCATGCCTATTGAGGTCTTACAGTTTGTCATGCCTATTGAGGTCTTACAGTTTGCCATGCCTATTGAGGTCTTATAGTTTTTTCGGCGATGTAGTATGGTGATTGTCGACAGTCTCTGAGTCATCAAGTTGTTTAAGCGTGAAGACCGCTTCTTGTGAACTCGGAGCTGTGTTTTCGGGGCTTTATGAGCCCGCGTCGAACCGCTGACGCTTAGTCTCCAAGTATCTCGGAATATTTTTGTTGGAGAGGCCCCTGCTTGGGATGCATTTGAGATTCCCTTTTCCAAAGCATGAAATGCCAATCAATATTCTTTATTGCTCGACGTATATATATGCTGTTTTAATACATGCCACATTACTGCTTTTTGGGTCTGGCCTGTGCACTTATTCCCTATTGGAGCTTCATTCGTCATTTTGCGGCACCAGACCGGTCGTAATAAGGATCCTGAAGGCTTGCTATGGCCTTCCTGGGAGGAATATCACTGTTTCATCGTTAAAAACCCCTGTCGGAAGAAAACCCAACACGGGATAAAAAATCCGATCAAGGGAAAAGAGTGCTACGGTCATTTCGAAGCCTCGGAATCTTTGAGCCGGGATATCATCCTGATTACCTTAGTTACTGCCCTGCGCAGAGGTAACAGTGAAGCAGAAGATGGGGAGAGGGACAAATGCTTATACCTTGGCGACGGTGCACTCTGGGCTTTGGCGTTTACTTGGCGGCTGCCAAGTGGTTCTTTGTTTGAACGTGCTCGGGTGGACAGTTCAGAAGATCATGGGGGCAACGCCCTGAGGTCCGTCTATTTTGTTCCCCTTTGCCATTCCTTCTCCCCGCGATTGACTTTAGCCCGGCTGCTGAGGAGTTCCTGAAGGTGCCCGTCGTTGAGCAATCGAGCCACTTCCTCTCGGAGCTGCCTGCAGTCTTCAGTTCGATGCCCGCGTGAATGGTGAAACTCGCAAAATATGTTTTAGCTCCTGTGGGAGGGGTCTGAATGCAAAGGCCGGGGCCATCTGGCATCTCCGATCTTGCTAATGGCGAACACGATGTCCGGTACATCGACGCTGAAGTTGTACTCCGATAAGTGGGGCGCGTTTGTTGGTGCTACGTTTCGATGGAACCTAGTTCTGATGATGAATTCTCGAGGGTCCTGTCCTCGATCTATCCTTCGATCGTTGCGAGGTAGGTTGCGTCTTGGGACGTTCCTCCTGTCTTCGAGGTATGGCTGGTACCTTTCTTTGTTTGGTCTCACTTCTTTTACCGGGAGTCTGCTCGGGTATACTGAGCCCGACGCGGCTCCCAGTTGGTCGTCCTCGGCCCTGATCTTTGACCGGTACCGGTTGTGGACGTCCAACCAAGTTACGGCCGGGTAGTCGATCAGGTTTTGCTTCAGCTGCTTCGAGGCCACTGAGCTTCCTTCGTTTAGGCCTTGGGTGAAGGCTTGTACCGCCCAGTCGTCGGATACGGGCGGCAGTTCCATTCGTTCCATTTGGAAGCGGGACACGAATTCTCGCAGCATCTCATTCTCTCTTTGTTTGATCTTCAAAACGTCGGACTTCCTCGTTGCTATTTTGATGGATCTTGCGTGCGCCTTCACGAAAGAATCTGCTAGCATGGCAAATGAATCTATGGAGTCGGGATCCAAGTTGTGATACCACATCATGGCCCCTTTCGAAAGTGTTTCCCCGAATTTTTTCAGCAGCACGCTCTCGATTTCATCATTTTTTATATCGTTGCCTTTTACAACACAGGTATAGGCGGTGACGTGCTCGTTGGGATCGGTGGTACCGTTGCATTTGGGGAGTTCCGGCATCCTGAATTTTTTGGAGATGGGCTTTGGGGCTACTTCCTCGAGGAATAGCCTCTGCACAAATTTGCTCGAATCCAAACCTTCTAGGACCGGGGGTGCTCCCGGGATATGGTCTACTCGAGAGTTGTAGGTCTCAACCTTTTTATCGTTGGCCGCAATCATTCTTTCGCCCGATTCGATCCTTTTGGTAAGGTCCTCCAACATCTTTACTATGGTGGGGTAAGTCGTTGACCCGATATCATTTGATCTTTCATGTGTTTGCTCGGCGTGGGGAGCTGTCTACGGTGCTGGTGTGCTGGGAGTCCTCGAATGGCTTTGTAACCGAGCAATGGCCAGTTGTTGTGCCTGCAACATTTCGAAAATAACGTGAAGACTAACTTACTGTTCTCCCCGGGCCGTGGTTTTTTGAACTTCCTGTCGGTCGATGTGTTGCACGCTTCTGTCGGCGTGAGAAGTGTTGTCGACTTGCTGCGCGTCTTGTGGGTCCGTGTCCGCTAGTATTGGTCTGGGTGCGTTATCGGGATCCTGTAGTGGTGCTCCGACGGCCGGGATAGCTACACCATTTTCCCCGCAATCATCGAGGTGGTCTTTCTCAGCTCTGTTCACCGAGCCGGACATTTTTACCTGAAATCAAAGGATCTTGGGCAAGAAAAAGCGTGAAAGATGATATGCGTTTGTGTAATGAAACTAGCAAGAAAATAATCACCATTATTTTTAGCCCCACAGTGGGCGCGAAACTGTTTACCGTGAAAATGGTAACTACAATTAAGTTTGTTAAATGGGACTCTAAAAATACATGATCTATTCTCGAGCTAGTTTGTTAAAGCAGGTGATGCTAGTATTATGAAATTTAGCGATAAGGCGGTAGATAAACGAGATAACGGGCGAACCAAAGGGTCTGCTACCCGGGCGTGAGCTCAGTCGGATGGGACTTCGAGGTCGACCTCGGGGTTGAGCTCGGGTCGTGGGGGGTATTCGAGCGTAATCTAACAGCTAGAAATATAATCAAACCGAGCTATTTATAACTAAAATTGAGTTTGTACGATGAAGAGCTATTTGTGAAATGAAGAACACGTTCAAAGGCAAAGGATATCGAGGTATCTTCAGTATCAGTGATAACCAATGAGCTTTTGTAAGAAAAGAGAGAGAGAGAGAGATATATTATTCACTTTGTAGAATTGTGGGAGCAACAACAGTGGTCTACAAGGAAGGGTGAGTTCCCTTTATATAGGAGAAGAGACTCAGTAACGAATAAATATATATCTAATATACGAAAATGGAGATGTGACCGCTTGACTTGATATCCCAGCAGAAGCTAGGGATGGGCCGGTCATGTCAGATTCAACCGCGTACCTCGGGGAGCTCCTTTCTTCATCCCGATCTCTGCTTCGAATCGGGTCTTGATAGACCCCGTAGGAAAGGAATGACCTGTGGCTTTATATCCTCGGGGTCTCGAGGTACCTTCTCAAGATGGCTTGATGGCAGGAAATCGAGCCCTCCGATTTTAACGCCTATAAATAATAATAGTAATAATAATAATAATAATAATAATAATAATAATAACAATAAGAATAATACAACAACAACAACAACATACCTAGTAAAATTCCACAAGTGAGGTCTGGGGAGAGTAGGATTTACCCAGACCTTACCCCTACCCCGGAAGGGTAGAGAGGCTGTTTCCGGGAAACCCTCGGCTCAACATAAGAGATAATAATTTCAGAAAAGAAACGAAAGAAGAGATCTGTAACAAGAAAAGAAGCAAGAGAAGTAATAATAATATAATACACCAAATAAGTGAAAGGGAGTGCAATAATATAATCATATGCAAAATAACGAAATAGTGTGAGCACAACACAGACCGCTACCAGATAGGCAAAACTCTATCAGACTACCCGGTACAAAGAGGGAAAAACTATGAACTACCTAGCCTACAAGCCTAATGCTCAACCTCCACGCTTTCCTATTAAGAGCCATGTCCTCGAAAATCTGGAGTCGCGCCATGTCTTGCCGGATCACCTTGCCCCAATTCTTCATAGGCCGCTCTCTACCTCTTCTTGTACCTGCCAAAGCCAACCGCTCGCACCTCCTAACCGGAGAATCTATGGCTCTCCCCAGCACATGTCCAAACCGCCTAAGCCTCGCTTCCTGCATCTTGTTGTCCGCGGGAGCATCGCCCACCTTCTCCCTAATACCTTCATTACTTATCTTATCATGTTTAGTATGCCTGCACATCCATCTCAACATCCTCATCTCGGCTACTTTCATCTTCTGGATATGTGAATTCTTAACTAGCCAACACTCAGCCCCATATAACATAGTCGGCCTAACCACCGCTCTGTAGAACTTACCTTTGAGTTTCAGTGGTACCCTCTTGTCATACAGGACTTCAGATGCTAACCGCCATTTCATCCACCCCACCCCAATACGGTGCATGACATCCTCGTCAATCTCCCTATCCCCCTGGATAATAGACCCTAGGTACTTGAAACTTTCTCTCTTGGGGATGGCTCGAGAGTCGAGCCTCACCACCCCGTCCGCTTCCCCCGACACGCCACTGAACTTACACTCCAGATATTCCGTCTTGGTCCTACTCAACATGAAACCTTTGGACTCTAGAGCCTACCTCCACACCTCTAGTCTCTCATTAACACCGCTACGCGACTCATCGATCAAAACTATATCATCAGCGAACAACATACACCATGGCACCTCCTCTTGAATATGGTGTGTCAAGGCATACATTGTCAGAGCAAATAAGAAGGGGCTAAGCGCAGATCCTTGGTGTAACCCCATAATCACTGGAGAAAGCTTGGAGTCACCTCCCGCAGTCCTGACCCGAGTCTTAGCTCCATCATACATATCCTTTATCGATTCAATGTATGCGACCAACACCCCTTTCACTTCCAGGCATCGCCAAAGAATGTCCCTAAGGACCCTGTCATACGCCTTTTCAAGGTCAATAAACACCATGTGCAAATCCCTCTTCTTCTCCCTGTGTTGTTCTACCAACCTCCTTATAAGGTGGATAGCTTCCGTAGTAGAACGTCCCGGCATGAACCCGAATTGATTTTCAAAAATAGATACCTCCCTCCTCACCCTCCCTTCAACCACCCTCTCCCAAACTTTCATGGTATGACTTAACAACATGATGCCCCTATAATTGTTACAATTCTGGATATCACCTTTGTTCTTAAACAACGGAATCATCAAACTACGTCTCCACTCATCTGGCATCATCTTCGTCTTGAAAATAGCATTAAGCAGCCCAGTCAGCCATTCTAAGCCCGCTCTACCCACATACCTCCAAAATTCTACTGGAATCTCGTCTGATCCTGTCGCTTTGCCCCGACTCATCTTACCCATAGCTCTCACTACCTCCTCAACCATGATACGCCTACAGTACCCAAAGTCACGGTGACTCTCGGAGTGTCCCAACTCCCCTAGCGCGATGCTACCGCTCCCTCTTCATTCAGAAGTTTATGAAAGTACGTCTGCCATCTATGCTTAATCTGGGAGTCTTCCGTCAATACACTACCTTCCTCATCTTTGATGCACCTCACTTGATCCAGGTCACGAGCCTTCCTCTCGCTCGCTTTGGCTAGCCGAAATAGCTTCTTGTCCCCACATTTGCCCCCTAGTTCCTCATACAACCGATCAAATGCAGCAGTCTTAGCCTCTGTGACCGCTAATTTATCCTCCTTCCTAGCTTCCTTATACCTCACTTTGTTTGTTCTCCTCTGCTCCTCATCAGTACTCTCCACTAACGCAAGGTACGCCATTTTCTTTGCTTACACTTTACCTTGGACAACATCATTCCACCACCAGTCGCCTCGGTACCCGCCATAGTAGCCCTTCGAGACCCTTAACACCTCTCTTACTGCCTCCCTAATACAGTTCCCCGTCGCCGTCCACATAGCGCTAGCATCCCCACTACTCTTCTAGGCACCCATATCCAACAGCTGCCCCTCCAACTCATGCGCGGTATCCTTAGCCAAAGCACCCCACGTGATCCTCGGTTGACCCTGTACAAACCTCTTCTTCCTCTTTATCACGATACCAGCATCCATCACCAGGAGCCTATGTTGAACCGTGAGGGTCTCACTCGGGATCACCTTACAATCCTCGCATAACCCCCTATCACACCACCTGAGGAGGATATAATCAATCTAGGTCTTTGCCACCATACTCCGAAAAGTAACCAAATGCTCCTCCCTCTTCAAAAACTAGAGTTCGCAATCACCAACTCAAAAGCCCTAGCGATATCCAATAGAGAAGTACCACCTCCATTCCTATCCCCAAAGCCGAAGCCACCGTGCACCTCGCCATAACCCCCCAGCCGACGACCCAATATGACCATTGAAATCCCCTCCTATAAATAACTTTTTCGTTGACGGAATACCCCAAACCACCTCATCCAACCCCTCCCAGAAGTGCTTCTTTATCTCCTCGTCCAAGCCCGCTTGCGGCGTGTATGCGCTAATGACATTCAGAGTGCTCCCTCCAACTACTAACTTAATCACCATCAATATGTTATCCACCCGCCTAACCTCAGCTACTGACACCCTGAGCTCCCTGTCCACCAAAATACACACTCCGTTCTTGCCCTTCACGCGTCCAGAGTAACACATTTTAAATCTGTCTGCATTCCTCGCCTTCGATCCTACCCACCTGGTCTCCTGAACACAAGCTATATTGACCTTCCTCTTCTGGAGAATCTTCGCTAGCTCTATAGACTTACTGGTTAACATCCCTATATTCGACGATCCAATCCTCAACCTACAGGTTCCCTTGTTGCCTTTACCCCTTCTGGGCCTCGTCCCACCCCATGATCCGTGTCCTACCCCCCACCATACCACCCTCCCACCCCGAGGACATGACCCTACTCTGCCATTACAAACCGCATCCGCTATTCCTACGGTGGTCTAGACAAAAATGCAACTACAAACAAGCAAAGGTATAAACTAAAAGGTAACAAATATCCAAAACTACTACAGCAACAAATTAACTAAAACAAATAGGTGACTGGAGGTACCAATTCCCACGTATAGAACCTGAACTTTCGACTTGCTATACTCCCAGTGCTGTGGGACCCGACGTCCAGCCCTTGTGACTACCAACAAGCCTGCCTGCTCTGCTGCGTTATCTCATACACCTCCCACTCAACCTGAAACAACTACCAAAAATGTGAAACCTGGAAAACACACAAATACACAACAGAACCGAGAAAAAGAGACAAGTGCAGGACTGTCACCGTCACCACCAGTGACGCACAGATCAGCTGCTGGCTCGACTCGCCTGAAAGCAATGACGAACCCTGTAACAGTGAAGCGACGCCGGGAAAAGAAGAAGGGCGACGAAAAAAGAATAAAGGAGAAGAGGAATCACAGAGAAGGGGTTGGGGTTAATGCCGGAAAAAGGAGCGGCGCCGGTGGAGCGTCGATCGCCGGCCTAGTCCCTGCTAGGGTTTAGAAGGGGGCAGAAAGAGAGGGGGCAAAAAAAAGAGAAAGGCGGAGGAAGAGATAGAGAGATAGAGAGAATGAGGGGGAGAGAGAGAGAGGGTGTGCTTACCTGGCTTACCCGTCCACGCCGGTGCTGGTGCTGGCGAAGTTCACCGGTAGAGTTTGCCGTTAGAATTAGACCGCTTGTATTTAGACAGAGACGGGCGTGTAGGAGAGAGAAAGAAGCGTTTTTTAATCAATGGACAAAGCATAGAGAGGAGAGAAAAGATTCTATTTCAAGCAAACCCAAAAAAAAAATTACTTAACAATAATAATAATAATAATAATAACTATAACAATAATAATAATAAGAACAACAACAACAACAACAACAACAACAAAAACAATAATAATAATAATAATAATAACGATGATGATAATAATAATAATAATAATAATAATAATAATAATAATAATAATAATAATAATAATAAAGCCAATATGGCATGTTGCGTCGTGCAGGCCGATCCACAACAACATTCACAACACATTTCTCACGTCTACCTCTGTAAACCACTCAATTCTTAAGGGCTAACATTCTCGTACCACTCAACCCAAACAATGATAACATGTGATGTAACAGTGAATGATAAATAGCGACTGAGATATGCTATATAAATGACAAACCATGACTGAGTATATAATTGCAGTTAAAAAAGATAACTCAAAACAACAAAAATAACTTCATTAGGTGTCAATCGAATAAGCACATAGCCTAAACATGATTTCTATCATGAATGACAGCTCAATTACACTAACTAATAGGAATTTCATAGATAAAACAAAACTTGATAGAAACATCGTACAAAAATCAACCTGGTTCATGTTTACTATGGTGCACGCCACATGCCCGTCACCTAGCATGTACGTCACCCCAACACAACACCAACAACACGTTTCACATGGATAAATACCCTCAGTTCCAATTATAGAAGTGTTACTCACCTTGAACAAGCAAGATCTAATATCGAGCAAGCCAAACAATACTCTAGAAATGTCATCCCGGGCGTAAAATTATCCGAACGGCTCGAAACTAGCTAAAAGCAACTCAAATACATCTAATAATGCCTAAGAAAAAATCCCAAAATGATAAAGGTCGAATCATTACACATTTACTCAAAGTTAACCAAAATGTTAAACCCAGGTCAGCACCTCGGAACCCGACAAATTTACAAAATATGATAACTCATTCAGTTACGATTCCAACCATACTAATTTAAGTCAACCCGTCTATGAATCGATGTACAAACCTAAAAAGTTCACTTTAGGAATGTTTGGACAAAAACACCTAATTTCTTTTTTGAAATCATTAATCCAATGCAAAAAAACTAAAAATAGATTCATGAAATATAATCAAAACCGACTAGAAAATACTTACACCAATCAATATGGTGAAATCGCCTCCAAAATCGATTATATCTGAGGTCCTCAACTCAAAATATGACCAAATGAACAAACCAATGATATTATATGCTTCGGCCTAGTCATTTCGTAAATGCGAACAAATAGTTGCACCTGCGACCTCCGCTTCTTCGGTAATACGAGAAAGCCTTAACCCAGTACTTGTCGCTTCTGCGACACTCAAACATGCTTCTCGGATTGCACTTCTGCACTAATGGTACCACACCTGCGGCCTCGCAGATGCGTCTGCACTCCACATAAGCGACCATCTCGCCCACAATCCATTTTCGCTTATGCAATCAAAATGTCTGCATCTACATACACGCTTTAGAGCCCAAACATATGCACTTCTGGACTCATCCTCCAAGATGCAACATCTTATTCTGCGGCTCCTTTGCTGCTTCTACAGTTCCGCACATGCATCTATAGCTCCGCAGGTGCGGTCACACCAGAACCCCTACCAAGCCAACATAGCCAAAATGATCCATAACGTTCTGAACATCGTCCGAAACTCATCCGAGCCCCTCAGAACCACGTCCTTATATAAGAACTTGTCACGGCCCAATTTCTCCCTCCGTGAACTATCGTGACGACACCTAGTCTCTACAACTAGGTAAGCTTAACAATTTGCGGAAAATGAAATAAAGATACGAATCTAACCATTTACAGGCAATATAATAAAGGAGTTTAAAATGCCGCTCGGCACATACAATAATAATACTCTCAAACTTAACATAGCACTCCCAAAATCCGAAAACTCATGAATCACAAGCTAAAGAAAAATACACAGTGTTCTAACTCCAGAAAGTCTAAACAAAGGAAAATACAAGAAATCTGTAACTGAAGGAAGAACAGAGAGGGACTTCTTGGTCTGTGGACGCGATAGATATACCTCGAAGACTCTGGTCACCTCGTGTACGCGGCTAAAATCGGAGAGCCCGATTTTACGATCGTTGTACCTGGCCGAAGTTTTGTTAGATCTAAATTTATTGATGAAAATAATATATTTGCTCTTTGTATAGGAACTTTTGGGTAGCTGTCACGATTAGCGAAATCAATTAGCAATGATCAAGGAATGTATGGATTGATATACAAGATTGACGAAATATATCAGAAGTCATCAAGGAAAGGAGACACGATTAAATGAAGAAGCAATCAATCGTGAAAATGCTGACGGGATAAATCAAGGCTAAACTAAAGGAATCAAATAAATCAAGATCTCTCTGAATATTCAATCAAGTGTCTAAATATGGAGGATCAAGATTTTGGGCCTTTGCAGAACATCCTTATTCTTGGAAAGAATCAATCTCTTTCCAATGATCAAATCTCTTGGACTAGAAAATCTTTCCAGAATTCAAGTCTCTCTCAGTGTATTTAAACCTGTAATCACACCTTAGCAAGATATACTTTGATCGAACCAAATACCCTTTCTTTATTCTACTGCAAACAAAGTTTATAGCTCCCTAAGACATGCTGTGTAACAAGTTAGAGAAAAAAAAGAGAGAACAATACTGGTGAGGCATTGTATCAAAAAAGATGAGTGATATAGGAACTGAGCTATCACATCATTCTCCTTGTACTCGAAGAAACTCATTCACTAAAGAGAACTCCCTTGCAACCCAAGGGGACTGGACTAGGATTCACAATGAATCCGTACCACTATAAAAATTCTGGTGTCTTTAATTCCTGCATTTAATTTCAGCATCGTATATTCTATTGTTACTACTGTTAGTTTATTACATCTAGTCGACTAATTGAAAAACTAGTCAACTAAGAGCGATTAAGTTTAAAAATAAATAATTCACCACCTCTTGTACTTTCAATTGGTATCACAGCAAGGCTCACTTTTTTCTTTTGTTTAATAGCTTGTGAGAAAAGATCATGGTAAATCAAGTTATCGTAGGAGCTCTCTTCCAGGAAGGAACTTCACAAGTCAGGCCACCATACTTCAATGGATAACATTTCTCCCACTGGAAAGTGCGTATGGAGATATATGCCAAGGCATATGACGTTAAAGTTTGGAGAGTCATCAAAAAGGGGAATTATCCTCTGCCAGCTGCCGCTCAACCACTTGTGGATCCTGAAGATATAGATTCATATACAAAAGAGCAAATGGAAGAGGTACAAGTCAACAATAAAGCGAGAAACCTGCTTTATAATGCCATAAGTGGTGAGGAGTATGAGAAAATCTCTAGTAGTGACACAACCAAAGAGATGTGGGACAAGCTTGAAGTTACATACGAAGGAACCAGCAAGGTAAAAGAAACACATATCAACATGTTGATTCATGACTACAAACTCTTTTCAATGAAAGAAGGAGAGTCTATTGAAGAGATGTTTGTCAGATTCAGCAAAATAATTAGCGATCTAAGAGCCTTCGGCAAACCATATACGAGTGGTGATCAAGTTATAAAAATTCTCAGAAGCCTACCAACTACTTGGCAGATCAAAGTAGTCACACTTAAATCTCAGGATCAAAATAAGTTATCCTACGATAAACTACGGGGAGAACTCGTAGCCTTTGAAAAGACACATCTCAAGAAGACTAATCTAGAAGGAAAAAAAGAAAACAGTCGCATTCAAGGCCTCAACTGAAGTAGCTGAAAATGATATCGACGATGATCCTGAAGCCCTTCAAGAAGAGATTGCTATGCTGTCATGAAATATGGATGGTTTAACGAGAAGATTTAGAAATACGAGGAGAGGAAGAATTCCACCTAGGCGATCAAGGCAATACAACGAACAAGACAAGAATGATGGAAAATGCTATGAGTGTGGAAGATTTTGACACATTCAAGCAGAGTGCCCAGATCTAAAAAGAATAATTTTTATAGGATTTAACAAGAACA